ACATGTCCAGAGGAGGGACAGTGGTTTGGACATGTCCAGAGGAGGGAGAGTGGGTATCTTGGTAGAAGGATGTTAGAAATGCAGCTGCAGGAAAAAGACAAAGAGGAGACATATGATGCAGTTAGAGAGGACATGGATGTAGTTGGAGTGAGGACAGAGGACACAGAGGACAGAGTGAGATGGAGGATGACTCGCTGTGGACACCCTGAAGAGGGAAAAGCTGAAAGAAGAAGATGAAAGTGAACAGGCAGCCAGTATAAATCAGCTACAACAGGAGTGATGCCTTCTGGTTCCTGTTGAAGACAACAGCAGCATCTGGAACAACTGCAGGCGATGGAGAAACGATTGTTCTGATCGAACATCTAAAGAAGGAAATGCAGTGATGGTGGTGATTAAGGCCTGGAGGAGTTTGGAGGTCTTTAAGAGGAATGCAAGATTTTACTTTGGCTATTACAAAAACTGATATAAACTGGTTTTGACAACTGAGAATGAAACATAATTGCTGTTCATTTCGTAAATTAATGTGTAATTCTAAGTAATTAAGTAGGTGTATAATTGTACTAAAGTAAATAATTTAAATAAGTAGAGTAAGTATTATTGCAATGGTAAATTTGTACGTTAGATGTGCTTTAAAAGGTTCAACGATAACACACTACACTACCCATAAGTCCTATGGAAATTGCGCAGCCTCAGTTTGGTTTCGCTTCGTGACGTCAGTGTTGTTGTCCAGGTTCTGACGTCACTCCCTGCGGCCAGACAGCGCCAGTAAAAGTTCGTGTTGTTGTGATGTAGCTCTCAGCCGAGGGACTTTACCCTCCTGAGACCGGTTCCGACCAGTTACCGCCCGCTCATGCTCCTCTTCTCCGGCCTGAGGAGCGTCTGCCAACGGTCGCGGCTCCGCTCGTTCACCGGGCGAAAGCTAAGCTAACCGCCGGCTAAAGCTAACCACCGGGCCGCCGAGTCTGAGATGAGCCGCGGTTCGTGTCGCTCGTCCCGTCCAGCTGTGTGACCCGGTACCGTGTGTGAGGACAGACCGGTACCAACACGATGTGGCAGAGCCTCGGCCTCACGCTGCTGGTCATCGTGGCCACGCTGGTCTGTGCGCTGCTCTTCATGATGTTCGGTGAGTTCAGGACCAGGCCCGAATCACCCGAACCCGAACCGGACAGACGAGCCGGAAAAGGCCGAACTGCTCCTTTAAAGCGGCTCTGGAGCTGTATCTGATTTCAGCTGTTTTGAATTAGTGCCCTTGAACATGACTGGTTTTCATCCCTGCTGCTACAGCTGTGGTGGTGACCTTTGACCCCACGAGCTCGCGAACACGCATCTTTATAATGTTTTTACTGCAGATCAAAACTTATGTGTACTAATCTGAATTATCATTTCTGTAAAACACTAAGAGCCAAATGACAGCTGAAATCTGTCAAAGCTAAAATTGAGCTGTTGAAGCTAAAAGGAGCCAAACAGAAGCCAAAATGAGCCAAACAGAAGCTAAAAGGAGCTAAACAGAAGCTAAAAT